TCTCTGGTTAGGCAGGTCTGACGCCCAGGTTAATGACATGTTGGGGTTCGCTCAGCGGCACACCGGAGGTTGGAGAGCTGCCCCGGTTTTCTTTCCTCCCCCGCCCCCATCCCAGAGCCAGAAAGTCGGGGGAGCGGCGGGACACCGCCTCGGAGGGACTCGGGCACGCGCTCCCCTCCACTGCAGGGACCCGGGCTCCATTCTCCCCGCCCCACCCTTAATTCTGCTCAGGGACCCGGGGGCTGGGTCGAGAAGGCGGCCGGAGGGCGGCGGGGGGGTCACCCACTCCCGAGCCCCAGCAGTCTGAGCTTCCCATTTCTGACCAGGACTCGAGGGCCCCAATACGAACTATCCAAGGACCCGGGTTCCGAGAGTCCCCGATTCGAGGGACTCGGGAATTCCCAGCTCCAGCGTCCCCCCAGGACCCGGGGGCCCAAGCCCTCTGTTCCAAGAACTCCGGCGTCCGAGCCCCCCTTCCCTCCGCCCCGCAAATCGGGCATCGGAGTCCTCTCCTCCTTCCAAGTACCCAGGCGTCTGCGCACCCCAATTCCGCCCTGGGACTCGGGGTCCGGGTCCCCTCCCAGTGCTCCCAGGGACAAGGTTGTCGGGCTTTCCCGGGACCCCGGCGGGGTGGAACTCACGGATCCGGAGCAGATCCTGGCACCGGGGGGCTTCCTCCGGCTCCGGCTCCGGCTCCGGCTTCGGAGAGCGGAGAACGGGGCGGGGCAGGAGTCGGGAACAGGTTAGACGACGTGACTCGACTGGAGGGGGGCGGGTCCCCAGGGGAGGGGGAGCCGAGGTCGCCTCGAGCACCTTGGGACTTGTAGTCCCGGAGGTGCAGGGCGCAGACCGAGACGTTCCCCTCTGATTCACCCGGAGTCCATTTCACAGGCAGGAAGGGCGAGGCCCAGAAGCCGAGGCGACCTGGCCAGGGAGACACGCGAGAAGAGCCGAGACGCCCACCTCGCTGTGGCTGCGGCAGACAGACTCCTGAGCCCGTGCCCCGCCCCTGCAGACTCAGTTTCCCGTCTTTCCGAGTGAACACTTGGACACTGCCAAAGGGGTGTTAAGATTGGAGGCTGGGAGGAGCCCCCCTCCGTGCTCCGTTCCTAAGGCAGGACGAGAACCTCGATAAATCACCGTCCCCTCGGGTCTCTGAGCCTCCATCTCTCCGTCGGTAAAAAGGGCGGGCTGGGTCTGTACGGGCTCTCCCAGCAAGAGCCCGAAGTCGGAGGCTGGACTACACCCCCCAGCAGCCCCCGCGGCCGACGTCGGGCACCTCCCCGCCTCGGGCCCCCTGGGAATTGTAGTCCCGGAGCCCGCAGGGGTGGCACCTAAGGTCCCTCTCGCCCACGCGCGGGAAGCCGTCTGGAGATCCCGGGCGGAGGAGACGTTGCCCCTTCCCCTTGACCCTCCCTCGGTTCTGGAAAGCCTCTCCCTCCTGGGGAGAAGGGAGGTGCCCCAATTCGAGAGGAGGATCCGAAATCTCGGCAGAGGGGGCGGGAGGCGACGCTGACACACCGGCCAGGAATGCAGTCGGGTCACCCTGTCTAGCCACCATCCCGCGGCCCCAACCACCGCCCCACGCAGGGCGGCCCCGGTGAGAAGGGGCGTGGGCGCATCCCCCAGATCTGAGGCCACGTGCCGCTGTTTACGCGCGCCCTGTGGCAGGGAGGGGCCGCCGATCAGGACTTCCACCCCCTCTTCCTCCCTCTGAGCTGTCGGGAAGGGCCCCCACGCACGAAACGACGCCCACGAGGGCTTCCATAAGACTCATCTGACCCACAGGCGCCAGCCCTTGGCCCGCACGGCCCCACGCGTGTCCGGCTCCCGGGCCCTAGGCTCCGCCCCCGGATCCGCAGGCTCCTCCCTCTGTGTTTCCCGCTTCTCCAGAGTCCACAAGCCCCGCCCCTGGCTCCTACTTCACGTCTTCGCTAGCGATTACCTCCATTCCTCCATTTTCCCACCTCTCCCACTCAAATTATGAACTTTCCGAGGCGTCACGGCCTCCCCACAAAGGGATTGTAACATTGGAAGCACTGGCCTGCCAACCAGCATTCTTACCTGTGTCTTTTAAGAATTTCAGAACAATCGGCCTCCCTGTCTCTTTAAGAGTTAGGCCCTATCCGTGCAACTGCCCCTTTAAGGCGGTGTTAGAACAAACCATGTCTGAAAGAGTGGGGGGGGACGCATTTGTACCTGGTGAGGTGCTGAGCCCCCCAAAACGGCGAATCACCTGCTTTCGGAAGGAAATTTTCGGGAAAAGAGTTCTTCTTCGGTCTTCTGTTCCGCACAAGTGGAAGTTTCCCCCAGTTCTACCTGCAGAACGAACAGGCGCCGCGACGCCCCCCGCGCTCCCGCGCCAGTTGGGCGCTCCCGGGCGAGGCCCCGCCCCCTGAACCCACGTGGTCAGCAGACGGCTCGGAGCCGCGCCGGCCTTGGGCGTGCGTGCGGCATCCGCCTCGGGATGGAGGGGACCCAGTCCAGCGGCGAGCGAGCGGGACTACGGGGTGCGGAGGGTGCTCTGGTGGGAGGAGAAGGGGCGCCCGGGGGAGTTCAGGTGGGAAAGGAGACATTCCCGGAGACAGGACTCGGGGAGAGAGCCCAACTCCCGTGGCGGAAACGGGAGTCGGGGCAGCGAGAGGGTATCTTTCGGGGGGGTCTGCCGGTGGACCCCCCGGGCTTGGGTCGGTGGAGTTGGGGACGCCCCTGGCGACAGGCCGGCAGCAGGAGAGACCGGATGAGGGGATTGGGTTTGGGACCAGTGGGCCGCAGGCGAGTGCCAGTAGACCCCCGTTTCCTCTTGTCCCGCAGGTGCTGCTCGGTTCTCGTGCCCCCCCGACTTCACCCCGATGCCCTCAGCCTCAGAGCCCCGTCGTTTCTCCTTGGAGACGCTGACAGGCCCAGACACGGAGCTGTGGCTTATCCAGGCCCCTGCAGACTTTGCTCCGGACTGGTGAGTGGTCCCACACTGCCTCCTGGGAGGCTGAACGTGGGGGAAACTTACGGGGCTTACAGGGCCATTTCTGCGAAACCAGAAATGCTGCTTGTGAGCTCTTTTTTCCCACCAAAAGGATCTAAGCCTCTGCCTCCCCCTTTCAGCTTCAACGGGCGGCGCGTGCCTCTCGCTGGCTCCCAGACTGTGAAGGGCAAGTTGGCCGGCAAGCGGCATCGCTATCGGGTCCTCGGCAGCAGCCCCCATGCTGGAGAAGCAACCTTGCTGGCACCCTCGGCAGAGGCGGGAGGTGGACTCATCTGTGCCCCGGCCCCCCAGGGCAGTCTAAGGATCTTTGAGGGTCTGCAGGAATCCCTGTCAGGGACCCCTCTGCAGCCCATTCCAACAAGTCCCCCCCCACGGGTTCCCCCTGGCCTGAAGCCTCGGTTCTGTGCCTTTGGAGGCAGCCCACCAGTCACAAGGCCTGGGTCAGCCTTGGCACCCAACCCAGCGAAAAGGAAGAAGGGGACGCAGATGCCGGAGGCCCCAGTCTCTCAGGAGGCAGTGAATGGGTACAGGGCCCTGGAAGTGGACACAGTTTTGGGGCCCCCAGAAATGGATGTGGGAGGAAAGAAGAAGAAGAAAAAGCAGCAGCTGAAAGAACCAGAGCGGACAGAGCCCGCGACAACAGAGCCCACAGCTGGGATGCCGCAGCCTCTGGGAGTGCTGGCCCTGTCCCCCACCAAGAAGAAAAAGAAGAAATCCAAAGGGGAAGAAACATTTGAGCCAGAAGAAAAGAAAGTGGAGCTGGAACTCATTAAAACTGAGCCTCTGGAAGAGACAGTCTTGTCCCCCACCAAGAAGAGAAAGAGGCAAAAAGGGACTGAAGGGACGGAGCCTGTGGAGGGGGTGCTGGGTGAGTCTCATCCACAGGTGAAAGTGGAACCGCAAGAAGAGGCCATCCCACTGCCCCCCATGAAGAAGAGGAAGAAAGAAAAAGTGCAAGATGCAATGGCAGAGCCAGGGACAGAGGCCACTGAGCCGGAGCTGACAGAGCTGGAGCTGCTACGTGAAGCTGAGCCTCCTGCCGAGGCAGCTCTGGCACCCGCCAAGAAGAAGAGGAAGAAAGAAAAGCATCAGAATGCCCTGACGGAGCCAGGGACAGAGGTGGTGGAACCTGAGTTGCCAGACGACCTGGAGCCTCAGGCAGCTCCGGCATCCACCAAAAAGAAGAAGAAAGACAGAGGTCATGGAGAGGCAGAGCCAGGGACTGGGCTGACGGACCCAAGGGAGGCTGCGGAGCCCTGGGCAGCTGCAGGACCCGCCAAGAAGAAGAAGAAGCGGAGTCAGGAGAGCAGGATGCCAGAGCCGGTGCCCCAAGAGGAGGTGCCAGAGCTGCTGCCGACTCTGGAGTCTGGGGGGGTGGCTCCCACGGGAGGGCGGGAGAAAAAGCGGAAGAAGAAGTCGCAGCAGGACCCTGCATAGCCTCCTCCAGGGAGACGGAGGATCTGAAAAATGCTGGGTCCTTGGAAGGCGCGAGCCAAAGACCCCTCCCCATCGACAGCACAGCACGCCCAGCAGGATCTGGGGCCAGGGCCAGAAAAATGCTTTATTCTTACACTGGGGGTCTCCTTGGGAGCTGGGATCATCGGGGCACCTTCAAGAAGGGCTTATGCAGGACGTCAAACAGCCTCCGGGCCTCAGCAGGAGAGAGAAGGAAGCAGGCATTAAATGAGCCACTTGTTTGATAACTCGAGTGGGTTTTGGTTCTTTTTCTCCCAATTTGGAGGGGGCTCCGGGGGCTGGGAGAAAAGGCCCAGTCCGGATTCTATCCCAGACAGGCTGTGTGAGGTTGGGTGGGTTCCCACCCTCTTGGACCTCGGTTTCCCCATCTAGATGAGAGGCACTGCGACCCTTCAAAACCTGGTAACCTTGGGATCTCAGGTCCTGTTTATTTGGGGTTCCCTCCTGCCTCAAGTTCTCTCCCAGAGCTCTTACCTTCTGGGGGCCCAGGCCCGGGCACAAGGCCAGATCTTCCCTCGATGCAGTGATGAGCTGTTCCAGAGACTACGGAAGGTGGAAGTGAGAGATCAGGGTGGGGGAGGACAAAAGCCAGTCCTGTCCTGGCCACAGGCTGATGCAGGACCTGGGATACTCCTGAGGGGAGGTGAAGGCCTATGGGTGGGGCATGGGAGGCAGGAAGGCTGAGGGGTGGGCAGGGAGGTGGAAGGAAATGGGGAAGTGCTTCCTAGGGAAGGACGAGGTAGGAATGCTTATGGGGTGGGAGGCATTCCTTACACCAAAAGTGGTCAGGAGAGTCTGACTGTCCGTTTTGTTGACTGACTTCACAGTGGTCAGACATTCAGTCACCTGGAGAGGGAGGGAGAGGCAGAAGTGCGTTGGGAGGAGAAAGGCCAGCAAGACAGCTCATGAGGACAGGGCTGGGTCACTGCTATGTCCCCAGACAGTCTGGCATCCAGGAGACACTCGGTAATGCTTTTTTTAGGGGAAGGGACCAATGAAAAGGTAATCGCAGAACAATCCCCAACTAGCTGAAAGGGTGTTGGCCACGTGATTTCTCTCAAGGAGCTGGTGCCGCCCAAGAAGACAAGGCTCTGGGGTCAGACCTGGGTACAAGACCAGCCCCAGTGCCTACTCCCCGTGAGAGTCTGGGTAAGGGAAGTGACCTCTCTGGACCTCCATTTTTGGGCAAATGAGAATCCTAAAAGTATATTTAGCACTCAGGACCACAAGCCAGGCACATAGTCCCTGCTATGTGGGAGGCTGAGGCAAGAGGATGGCTTGAACACAGGAGACAAACCTGGGCAACGTAGCAATACCCTGTTTCGAAAAAAAAAAAAATAAAGTACTCAGGTGCTGTGGACATCACTGGGGTGAACCAAGAATGCTTCTCAGCTCAAAGTGGGGGATAATAAATTTCTGCATGTGGCCTGGATCTGAGTGCCTGGGTTCAAATCCCAGGATGATGGGTAGATCACTCCCTCTCCTTGAGATGGATTTTCAGAGTATCTTCCCAGGGGGTAATGGTGGTTGATAGAAGGCCCCACCAGTCTAGAAGCCCCCTTGACTTACCTCTTCCCAGAAGAATCCCTAGGAGAGGCATAAATGGTTCAACAATACATTCAGCAAATACTGAGCACTCGCTGAGTGCTGGGTGGTCCTGGGGCACAGCAGTGACCAAGACAGCTCCAGCCCTGCCCTCCTGGGGCTCCCAGTCCAGCTGGGAAGACAATTCAGTTCCAGATAGTGATGGCCCAGGAGGACAGGGCTGGGATGGGGGAGCCTAGCAGGGGCACTTCCCTTGGCCTGGGGATCAGGAAGGGCTTCCTGGAGAAGGTAGTATCAGTGAGATATGGAAGATAGAATTACACAGGTAATTGGGCAGAGGGAACAGAATGGGCAAATGCTTAGAGGTGTGAGCTAGGCTGGGAGCAGCACAGTGTAACAGAATGCACACGTAGTGGAGGACTCGGCTGCCGAGCCACATATGCCCTTGTAGGGCCTGGCAGGAACACGGAGCTTTCCCTCAGAGCACTGGGGAGCCATGGGAGGGTTTTGAGCTGGGGAAGGCTGAATCAGGTTTGGATGGGAGGGGATGGGGGAAACCAGAGAGGGGAGGCCCGGGGCATGAGTAGGCATCCCTTGAAATCAGAACTGAAGCCCAACCACCCCAAGGCTGAGGCAGGGATGGGAGGGGCCCGGCCTCACCCGCGAGACGAAGTCCTGTTCTGGCCTCTCCATCAGGAGGTCTGCTGGCTTCTGCTCGTAGACCTTGTAGGTCTCCAAGTACCGCCCGGCTTCCTCAGGGCTGGGGGGACAGACTCAGGTCAGCCACAAGTGGGGTATCAGGTTGTAGACTCATTTCCTTACAGTAGTAGGAACTGGTGATGCTACAAATGAGTTCTCATTTCTCCCTAAGTGTAACCTGGCAGTGACTCCTGCCAGGTGCCTCTTTTTCTGGCCAGCACCTGAGCCCACTTCCCACTTGCATGACCCCGGGCGGGTGATTTGCTTTCTGGGCTTCAGTTTCCTTGTCTGTAAAAGTGGCGTGGATGGTGGCACTGTGAGGACTGCAGAGCACTTTATGATGCTGTGTAAGAGCTCAGAACCAGCTGAGTGCGGTGGCTCACGCCTGTCCTCCCAACAATTTGGGAGGCGGAGGCAAGAGGACTGCTTGAGCCTAGGGGTTTGAGACAAACCTGAGCAACTTGGCGAGACCTCATCTCTACAATACATCAAAAAATTAGCCAGGTGTGGGGGCATGTGACTGTGGTTCCAGCTACTTGGAAGGCTGAGGCAGGAGCATTATCTGAGCCCAGCAGGCTGAGGCTGTGGTGACCATGAGTGTGCCACTGGACTCCAGCCTAGGCGACAGTGAGACCCTGACTCAAAAAAAAAAAAAAGAGCTCAGAACCAGGCCTGGCACTGTTGAAGAAATGTTAGCAATTTTGGAAGGAAGTCAGCACATGGAGCATTTGTACTGGGTTTCACAGGGATGACAACCAGAAACACTGTTTATTTTCCCAACTACAGCAGAAAGCCAGCCTCATGAAACATTCAGCTTCCCACTGAGAAAAATAATTGTTTTATTTTAGAGGTGGAGTCTTGCTCTGTTGCTTGGCTGGAGTACAGTGTGGCAGGACCACAGTTCACTGCAGCCTTGAACTCCTGGGCTCAAGTGTTCCTCCTGCCTCAGCCTCCCAAGTAGCTAGGACTACAGGCTCGTGCCACCACACCTGACTAATTTTTGAAAATTTTTCTTCATAAAGACAGGGTCTCTTGCCTGAGCCTGCGGGTTCGAGACCCACATGGGCAACTTGATGAGACCTCATCTCTACAATAAATCAAAAATTAGCCGGGTGTGGTAGTGCGCGCCTGTAGTTCCAGCTACTTGGAAGGCTGAGGCGGAAGGATCGCCGGAGCCCA